TTCTTTCTTTTTTTTTTTGGTACCAGAGATCGAACTCAGTGAGCCTGTCTCAAGAAACAAAGGGAGATTTTCCACTTTTCACCATTAAGTACAATGTTTGGTGTTGATCTCTTATGGATAGTTACACTTTATCAGATGAAGAAAGTTGTCATCTATTCCTAGTTTGCCAGTTATTATTTTTATCATGGATGAATGTTGGATTTTATCAGCTACCTTTTCTGCATCCATAAAGATAGTTATGTTTTTTTCTCCTTTAATCTGTTAATGTATTAAACTGCATTGATTGAATTTTCTAATTAAACCAACCTTAGAATAGTGGTTCTCAATTTTTATCACCAGAATCAGACACAAAAGAAGTCCAAGTCAGCTGGGCATGGAGGTGCACACCTGTAATCCCAGCACTCGGGCTGAGGCAGGAGGACTGCCATGAGTTGAGGCCAACTTGGACCACATGGCAAGTTCAAGACTAGCCTAGACTAAAACTAAAAAAAAAAAAGTCCAGATCAAATTGTGCCAAATATTTCGTAAATATTTAATAAAATATCTTATTTTATTTTATTTGAGATAGGGTCTCGCTGTGTAGTTAGCCCAGGCTGGCCTCGAACTTGTGTCAATCCTTCTGCCTCAGCTTCCTGAGTGCTGGGATTACCGGAGTGCACCACCACACCTGCCCTAAGATCAGGGTTTTGTTCATAAGGTCTTTGCCTATACCAGTGTCTTCGAGAGGTCTACCTATTCTATCTTCCAGTGTTTCTGTTTTAACATTTAGATCTTTGATCCATTTTAATTTTAGTTTAGTGCATGGTGAGAGATGTGGATCAGCAATCCTCCTGCTTCAGCCTCCCCAGGGCAAATGTTATTTTAAAAGGCTCTGACTATTTAAAGAGTGCAGAGACTAGTACTATTATAACACTTGTGTCCTTGTTTTTCTTTTTGTTTCATATTTTACTAAAGTAAGAGAAATAAAACAATACGGATAAGCCAGCATCCCCTTCCTTCCCCTGTACTCAGAGTTCAGAGTGGTGACCATTACGCAATGGAACCTCACATCTTTCTCCCTGCTTTTCAGTTTCATTCCTTCCTTCTCTGAGGAGGAGCTTTCCTCAAATTCTAATTTGTAAATGTCTTGATATTTCATCTTTAAGCTTAATTGCTTTAAAGGATAGGTCGTATATGCACATGGTACAAAATTCAAAAGGAACATGCCAGGTGTGGTGGCACAAATACCTGTAATCCCAGCACTTGGGAGGTTGAGGCAGGAGGATCGCCACAAGATGGAGGCCAGCCTGGAATACCTAGGGAATTCAAGGCCAGCATGAGCTATGTTGTGAGCTCCTGTCTCAGGGGAAAATTTTTTTTTAAAGGAACGGAAGTTCTACTTCAGTTTCTAACTACTCATTTTCCTTCTTCAGAGCAACCACTAACCCAACACTGATTTTAATGTGTCCTTTTAGAGCTATCTGACCTGTGTCCAGATGTAGATGTGCCTTTATTTTCTCCTCCACCGCCAACAGACCATGATTTTGGTACTATTCTCCACCTAACTGTTCATTTAATAATGCATATTGGGCGTCATTCAATTTCAGTGCTGAATAGTGTTCTGTTATATTGTGTTTCTTGTTTTTTTGTTTTTTGTTTTTTGTTTTTTTTGTGTGTGCTGGGGATTGAACCCAGGACCTTGTGTATGCTAAGCCCTTGCCTTACCACTGAGCTACACTTCTACCCCTGATATGTGTTATTTTATTAGGCTGATCTCTATGATGGATATGGTTTTGAGCTCTTTCTACTCTTTTGCTATTACAAACAGTGCTGCAATAAATAATCTTATATATAATTTTGGAGAACATGTGAAGTAGAATTGCTAGTATAAAATTTTGATAAGCTAAATGGTCTCCATAGGGGCTTACTACTTTCTACTCCTACCAACAATATATAAAATTGCCAGTTTCCCCCCGTATTCCTTACAATGCAGTATTTTCTTTTTTTTGGTACCAGGGATCGAACTCGCTTGCAAGGCAAGTGCCGGAACCACTGAGCTAAATCCCCAGCCCCAAAATGCAGTATTTTCAAATGTTTTAATCTTCATCTGTCCAAAAGTTAAAAAGTGCTATCTTATTATGGTTTTATTTTGCATTCATTTTATTAAAAGTGAGGTTGAAGTCTCTTTATGTTTTTAAAGGCCCTCTATTGTTTTCTCTGTGTGATCTGTTGTCTTCTACCATACCTATAGGATTATGTATTTCTTACTGATTTGGAAGAGTTTTATGCACATAAAGAGATTAGCTCTTTACCTGTGCTATGTACTGGAAATATATCTCTCAGTATGTTGCTTTTCTAATGATTGATTTGATTTATTTTTACCCTACAGAACCTATTTTCCTGAAACCTTCAAATTTTTTTATTTCATGGCTTCTAGGTTTTGTGACATGCTTCAAAAGCCTTTCCTCAGTCCAAAGTTTAAAAAAACATTTTCTATCTTTTTTCCTACTACTATAAGGTTATTTTTTTATCCACCTGAAATTTTCTTTTATGTAAGAAGCAGGATAAGAACCCCACTTACTTTTTCCCTACATGACTCCTCGACTCTCCTTTAAAGATTAATAAACCACCTTTCCCATGGAGAGTTTGTTTTTAAAGTATGAAACAGAATATTTTAGATGAGAAAAAAGAACAAGAAAAACAATATCACTAAATCCAGCAAAATAACACATTTTTATTAACTGACTGATGTTCCTCGGCAATACATTTTACTCGAGAGCTCCCCAATTTAAATGTATTTTTAAATAAACATTCAGGAAAATTCACCTTTTCCTTGTTGCCTAGTTCTGAGTTTAGACAAATGCACAGTTGTATAAGCAGCCACTGTACCCAAGAGGACAGCCCCATCACCTTTATGTACAGACAGCCCAACTTGCAGTGGTTCACCTTATAGGTTTTCATTGTGATCATGATGCACAGCCAGTACACGCCCAGTAGAAACTGTGCTACACATTTTGAGTTTGGATCTTTTCCTGGGCTAGTGATGTGTGAGCCAGTCCTCTCTCCAGATGTGGGACAGCAGGGCGGCTTGAGCCACAGCTCCCAGCCAGGCACGTGATCACAAGGGGAACCGGGGCCCCACAGCATGCTGTGTGGCTGAGCTGGGTATTAGCAGCTGAAGTGTTTTAAATGAATTTTCACTCAATGATATTTTCACCTCACGATGGGTCAGTGGGAACATAGCCCTCCCATAAGCCAAGGAACATCTGTCTTCTCTGGCCTTCACTCTGCAAGCACATCCTCTCCCACTGTGCCCTCTACACCCACTGCTCTGTTTCCCACCCACACCCACACACTTAAAATTCTTGGGACTGGTCCTCCTGGTAGGTGCTAATGGTTCCCCGGGAGATCCTGAATTGAGCCAGGTGGGAACCATTGCCCAAGGATAAGGTGGGAACCATTGCCCAAGGATAATGCTTCATAACTGGCAGGAACTTGCTTTGCATCCCTGAGGATTCTCAGAGCCGTGAGCAGCCAGGGCCTCAGACTAGCAATGCTGACAGCCTTTCCTGAGCGCTCACCACTGACAGGTACCATGCTGAGCTCATTTCATGTGCCCTCTCTCTTCACAACAGTTGCACGGAGTAAATCTGTCATCCCTTTTTGAGGCTGAAGTTAGAGATTTTGTACTTTGCCTAAGATGGACAGCCAGGGCACAGTGTAGCCAAGACTTGGGCCCTTGAAAGCTAATTGCTCCTTAGCCCGATACACTTGCCTCCTCCACAAGGGTTGGTAACCTGCCTCTGCCACCCCAGCCTTCAATGTAATGATCATCCACACTGGCTCTCACAGCCTCAGAAGATTCCTGGCACAACTTCTCGCTTGGGATATAGATGTCTCTAAATCAGGGATGATTTGGTGGTGGTGGTGGGGTGCAGGGCAGAAAGCAGAGCAAGCCCAGCTACTGGGGTGGGCAGGGTAGGGCTTGGGCAGGGTTGGAGACACCTGAGACTTCTGCCTGTTTCTGTCTGCTGACAACATCTTTCCTCCCTTTGTGCTGGATGGAGCCTCCTCTTTCTCTTCATCTGATTTCCTGTTTCCTCCTCTGGCTCTGGAGTTCCTGGCTCCTCTGACTGCTTCTTCTTAAGTCTTCACCTCTTCCCTCTCTCACCTCAGCTTGGTAAGGAAACAAGGGTTCTGGGGGCTGGACAAGGGAGAGCATCTCCTGGTTCTGGTGAATGGGCTGTGGGAGGGGGGGACCTAGGGAAGAGACCCATAAGTGGTTTTAAAATACCCTGAAAAGCATGGTGGCTCATGTCTGTAATCCCAGCACACCGGGAGCCTGAGGCAGGAGAATGGCAAGATCAAGCCCAGCCTGAACAACTTAATTTAGCAAGACCTTGTCTTAAAATGAAACCTAAAAAGGGCTGGTCTTGCAGCTCAGTGGGAAGGTCCTGGTTTCAGTCCTCAGTACCATGAATAAATAACCCTGGGGTTCTCAACCAGAGGCACTACCACTACTGCTTAGCTGGGAATCTGGAAATGGTAGGTGTTTTTTTGAAAACTTTAGTTGAATTATAGTGTACATACACAAGAGTGCATGGATCATAAGTTGATTTTTCACAAGATGAATGCATATGCTCATGTAACCAGCACCAGGTCAAGAAATACAGCATTCCCAGCATCCCAGAAGCGCCTCTCAGGCCCTCCTAGTCGCCACCCCTAGAGTGGGTGAACTGAGGGGAGTGAGCATCTGTTGTAGTTGTTGTCACAGTGACGTAAAGGTTCTGCTGGCATATAATGGGCAGGGTCTTTGGATGCTAAATGTCCTCCAAGATATAGGCTAGCCCTGCATCATAAAGAATTGTCCTAGCCAGGTGTCCTGTTGAGAAACACTGTGGGAAGGGTCTGAGCTCTGATAGCCTGCAGTGTGGCAAAGGCCTAGGGTCCGGGTGAATCTGTGTCGGTGGGTCAGAGCAAGGAGGGGTCTTCCCACAATGTGCCGCTGTCACTACCCCCAGGCCTCCGGAATGCCCCCCGCTGCTGGGCAGTGATCCAGCCCCTGCTGTGTGCTGTATACATGCCCAAGTGCGAAAATGACCGGGTGGAGCTCCCCAGCCGAACCCTCTGCCAGGCCACACGAGGCCCCTGTGCCATTGTGGAGCGGGAGCGGGGCTGGCCTGACTTCCTGCGCTGTACCCCCGACCACTTCCCTGAAGGCTGCCCGGTGAGTCAGTCCTCTGAGGGCAGGATCTGGCCTGGCATGGGCAGGGTTCAGTAGGATGCAGGGGAGACCCTGTGTCTATAGCCATGGGATCCACAAAGCACAAACCCAAGCTGCAACTTACCAGCCAGACCAGTCTATTGAGGTTTCTCTTTGATCCAAGATAACATATTTGCCAATTGGGCATGGTGGCGCACACCTGTAATCCCAGCACTCAGGAGGCTGAGGCAGGAGGTTCGCCCAAGTTCCAGGCAGCCTGGGCTACATAGTGAGTTCATTGCCAGCCTGAACTACATAGTAAGACCCTGTCTCAAAAAACACAAGAAACAAAAATAAAACAAAAAACCAAGATAACACATTCAGCAAATACTTGAGTCCCTACTCTGTTAGATGTTGGGGTCATACAAAAGTCCTAGATAACAACAGCCTGTCCTCAGGGAGCTTATCATATGTGTAAGGCTCCAAATGTGCACATATCATAGCTGGAGACACCAGAGGTATGGATCTAGTCTGGGTGGGAAAGGAGAGATCTGAAATGATAATAATGACAGCAATAATACTAATTATTATCATTATTCATTATGTATGTGATATACCATTAAAGCACTTTACATGTATATATTCATTTAACTCACATCCTACTACAAGATGGGTACTACTATCTTATAGGTGGGGAAACTGAGGTACAGAGAGGCCAGATAGTCCAATGCTGCACACCCATGAGAGGCAAGGCTGGGCTTTGAACCCTGGAAGCCCACCTCCAGCCACCATGTGTGCTGCTCCCAGGGCCATTTCCTAAGCTTGAGGCTCACCTTGAGCTGCCTCTTTCCTTGCCTCGTGCCAGAATGAGGTGCAGAACATCAAGTTCAACAGCTCAGGGCAGTGTGAAGCGCCCTTGGTGCGGACCGACAACCCCAAGAGCTGGTATGAGGATGTGGAGGGCTGCGGGATCCAGTGCCAGAACCCGCTGTTCACAGAGGCAGAGCACCAGGACATGCACAGCTACATTGCCACCTTTGGTGCCGTCACGGGCCTCTGCACGCTCTTCACCCTGGTCAGTAGCAGGGAGGGCAGACTGTCTGGGAGGCTGGGCTCCAAATGGGGCAGACTTGGTGGGGCGCCCAGGGAAGGACCCGGGATTCAGGTCAAGTTGGCTGGGAGGGTACAGTAGCAGAATGACCCTCACCTTGTACAGCTGCTGTTTCTCTCTCCTAGGCCACCTTCGTGGCTGATTGGCGGAACTCTAATCGCTACCCCGCAGTTATTCTCTTCTACGTCAATGCGTGTTTCTTCGTGGGCAGCATTGGCTGGCTGGCCCAATTCATGGATGGTGCCCGCCGAGAGATCGTGTGCCGAGCCGATGGCACCATGAGGCTTGGGGAGCCCACGTAAGTGTCTTGGGGACCCAGAAGAGGGGGAGGGGAGCTGCATTGTGCATTTGCCACAAAAGAGACATGGGATTTGAAATGTGGCTTCAGGGTAGGATTCAGCTCTGCCTTGTTGTGTCCAAGGCCTCTAAGACCTTGGCTTCAGCTTCGGGACCTTGGTTGTTGACATCTATCAAAGGGCCTTCTCCTGGTGCCACTTCCAGTCTGGCCTGGCCACTGTCTCCAAGCCCAGACTTCTGGGAACCCTCCAGAGAAGCTCAGGGTCTGGGGACAAGGTGGAGACCCAAAAGAGGAAGCACAGAGTGACCTCAAATGACCCTACCTGTCTGCACAGCTCCAATGAGACCCTGTCCTGTGTCATCATCTTTGTCATCGTATACTATGCCCTGATGGCTGGCGTGGTCTGGTTTGTGGTCCTCACCTATGCCTGGCATACCTCCTTCAAAGCCCTGGGCACCACCTACCAGCCTCTCTCAGGCAAGACCTCCTACTTTCACCTGCTCACGTGGTCGCTCCCCTTCGTCCTCACTGTGGCAATCCTCGCCGTGGCCCAGGTATAGTGAATGGTAGGGGGCTGGGGACCTGAGTGGAGTGGGCTTGGAAGGGGAACAACTGACCATCCCTCCCATGCTTTCTTGCCTCAGGTGGATGGGGACTCCGTGAGTGGCATCTGTTTTGTGGGCTACAAGAACTACCGATACCGTGCTGGCTTTGTACTGGCCCCAATTGGCCTGGTGCTTATCGTGGGGGGCTACTTCCTCATCCAAGGTGAGTGAGAGCCAGGCCAGAGCTATGAGGAAGTAGGAGTGAAAGCAATCAGCTCTGCTGCCTACACACTTAGACTGCAGCCAGCTCCTTTGATGCAGAATAGAACAAGTGACCCTCTAGGCCAGTGGTGGTGTACCCATGGCACATGTGCCATGGCCAACTTTTTTATTATTGAAAGCTCTAATAAACGATTCACCATCACTGCTGTAGGCAGATGCAGGAGCAGGAGCTCTTGCTAAGGGATAGTACATGTGTTGGCAAGAAAAGCACACCCTTTCCTGCAGAGCCTTGGGTTGAGTTCCAGACCCATCCCCTCTTGGCAGGGTACACTTGGGTAATGACTATCTGGGTGACCTACCCTGACTACATGGACCAACTTGGTCCATCTTTTGGAGCTTGGTTTCCATCTCCTTTGTACCCACAACACACACAAAAGTTTTTACAACATGCACAGATGTACTGGTCCCTAACTTCCTCGTCTCAATCTGCTACCCCATGGTAAGCCTTAGTATCTACTCATTTTCTTTTGTTGGTTTCAGTTTCCTCCTGTGGAACTGTCAGCTGTTCAGCCTTCTTTCCTCCCCTTCTGGCAGAGTGTCTGGACCTCTGATTGTGTTTTATACCTGTGCTGTCCTGTAGAGTAGCCACTGCCCACATGCATTGAAACTAGTCTAAATTGAGATGTGTCATAAGTGTTACATGCTGCCTTTCAAAGACTTAGCACCAAAATAATAATAATAATATAAAGTATCTCATTAACAAGGAGATATTTCTCCTTGGTACATGGACTATGTGTTGGAGTGATTATATTTGGGGTATATTAGGTTTATAAAATATATTGAAATTATTGTCACTTGTTTTTTTTTTTTAAAATGTGTCTACAAGAAAATTAGAGATTATGTTTGAGGCCCTGTTGAGCAGGGCTATTCTTGAGTCTGTTTTATGCTTTTTCTGTCAGAACAGCTTTGACTTGGCTGCCTTCCTTAGGGACAGCTGAGCCAGGACTGAGGCTTCCTCTCTCCTCCACTGCCTGTGTGGCTCTGCCCCAGTCATCCCAGTCCAGGGCAGACATGGCACCAGCCACTCTCCCATTCTCTGGTGTCTCTAGTTCCCCAAGCTCTAAGTCAGCCCAGGTTGTTTAAACCTAGGACAGCAGGGCCATGGCCCTCCCCTCCCCAGTGCATCCCTCCAAGAAGAGTGGCCTCCCCTGCTAATGTGTCAGGTTCCCCTGTGTACAGGAGTCATGACTCTCTTCTCCATCAAGAGCAACCACCCGGGGCTGCTGAGCGAGAAGGCTGCCAGCAAAATCAATGAGACCATGCTGCGCCTGGGTGAGTGGTCCCCAGGGGACTTTTAGGCCTGAGGTCCTGGTTGGGCTGGGGCCCTGGGACCTCCATGATGCAGTCTTTGGGATGCAGTAGCATGGGACAGGCATGGGTTCTATGTGTGTCGGTGGTGGTGGTAGCAGCTCAAAAGAAGGGGCTTTCTCAGGTGAAGAATCCAAGTTCATGCATGGCAGGACTGCTTCTCCGGGCCCCCTTCCCTCACAGGAGCCTCCCAACAGCTGCTGCAGTGCCCTCTGGCTTTGTTTTGGAGGGTGCAGTTGTTGACCTGAGCCCCAGTGTGAATTCACCTCAGACTTGGCTGTCTTCAGACACCCTCTCCCCCTGCTACATAACATCCGACCTCGGCAGCGTCCTCATTGTCCCTGTCTTCTACAGGCATTTTTGGCTTCTTGGCCTTTGGCTTTGTGCTGATTACCTTCAGCTGCCATTTTTATGACTTCTTCAACCAGGCTGAGTGGGAGCGCAGTTTCCGGGACTACGTACTGTGAGTGAGGGCCTGGGCTTGGGGTCAGCAATGGTGGGAGCTGGAGCCCTGGCTGGAGGGACAGCAGCCCCTCACTTGTGCACTAGGGATCTGCCAATCCCTGCTCAGATGAGACTGATAGTGACCGGGTACCCATGATATCAGCTGCTGTGTACTTGGCCAAACATGGCAAACAGCCTTCACATCCCTCCTCGACTCTGCCCTCCACCTACGCCCTGTTGGTTGTCTGGCTGATAGATACCTTTGTACCTGTTGAGCCATTTCATGCTCTGGCTCCTCTGACCAGCTCCGGGTTGGCCACAGAAGCTGCACTCTCTCTCTGATTCTGTGTACCTTCTATGGAGCTCTCTGTAGATCCCTGCACCTCTGTGTAAGGTCGACAACCTGTTCATGTTTGCTAATTTTCTTTGTGCTTTTTTATGTTCCAATGAGGATGAATTGGAGAGTGAACTATCTCTACTGCCAAAAGAAACGCAACACTTGTTGTTACAGGAACAACAGTTAAAATACCTAAGAGAGTAGATATTGCCCCAACTGCTTCAAGCTCATTTTTTATTCATTTGTTTTTTGTGGGGTTTTTTTTCTTCCTTTTCAGTAGGTAGATTGAACCCAGGGCCTTCACACTGAAATACATCCATAGCCCTTTAAAAATTTTTATCTTGATAGGGCCGGGGATTTAGCTCAGTGGTTTCGTCGCCTGCTGTGCAAGTGCAAGGACCTTAGTTCGATCCCCGGTACCAAAAAAAACAAAAAGTTTGATGTAATTGTCTAGATGGGGCCCACATAGCAGTACCTTGTAAAAGCGCTCCAGGTGATGACAAAGAGCACCTTGAGGGCCTAAGGTTGCAGCTGAGTGGTAGAGGACTTGCCTAGCATGCATGAGACCCTGGTTCCATCCCAGCACCAAAATAACAAGCCAGTTCAGTGGGGCTCAGCTCTTTTCTGGTCTTTGGGTTGATAGTGGGGGACCTAACTGTTGGATGCAAAGGCCTTAGCTATTAATCCTCCCACACCATAGATGCCAGGCCAATGTGACCATTGGGCTGCCCACCAAGAAGCCCATCCCTGACTGTGAGATCAAGAATCGCCCAAGCCTTCTAGTAGAGAAGATCAACCTGTTTGCCATGTTTGGAACTGGCATTGCCATGAGCACCTGGGTTTGGACTAAAGCCACTCTGCTCATCTGGAGGCGCACCTGGTGCAGGTAGGGTCAGTAGCCAGCTCATCGTGTGGCTAAAATCTTACTCTCAGCCTCAGGTCCTCACCTTTAGCTTTTGAAGTCCTATTCCTGCACGCCTCGGGCAGCAACTTTTTTGGCTTTCTCTGTGGCTCACCACTGCCCCCTGGTGACACCTGTCCCAGGGAGGCATGGGCCTGGGCCCAGCACTATACCAGAGGCATCTTTGTAAATGAGTGATTTGAGGGCAGGGCACATAGGAGCCTTGCATCCTAGGCTCACTTTGTCACAGAACTGGCTGGTACTCCTCAAAGTCCTCGAAGGACCCGAGGCATTGCATTGCCTCCTTCCCTGGAGGAAATGGACTCACTGGTTGGAAGCAGCTGCTCTTCCATTTCCCGTCCTCACCCCTTCTGCTTTTAGGCTGACTGGGCAGAGTGATGATGAGCCCAAAAGAATCAAGAAGAGCAAGATGATTGCCAAGGCCTTCTCCAAGCGGCGTGAGCTACTACAGAACCCAGGCCAGGAGCTCTCCTTTAGCATGCACACGGTCTCCCATGATGGGCCTGTGGGTGAGCCTCAGCCTTGCCCTCTCTCCCACCTGTCTGACTCCTGCAGTGCCAAGCCCTGGCCTTCCAGGACACGTGATTGTTTGGCAGATTCCACCTCTCCCTCACACTCTCGTTCTTCTGCAGCCCCCGATCTGCTCTCTGGAGGCGCCTTCTCCCTCTCTTCCTGCCCATGGGGCTGCTTGCTGGTGCTCAGTTCTGGGAGGCTCTCCTCCCTCTCCCTTCCACTCTGCCTTCTCTAGGTGCTCTCCTTGGGTCAGAACAAGTCAGGGTTCCAAGTCTGCACTTCTGAGCTCTAGTTAGGCTCTTTGGGGAGGTAAGGCTACTCCCCTGAGATTCTGAATGGTAGAGATCACTGTGATTATAGAGGGAGCTTTCTCTGCCAGGTGGCACAGGAGGGACCAGCTGGGGGAAGATGATGGTGCTGCTTAAGGGAGGAGTCACTGAGAGGGACTAGGAACTCACCGATCCTTTCTTTCTATCCCCAAAGCGGGTTTGGCTTTTGACCTCAATGAGCCCTCTGCCGATGTCTCCTCTGCCTGGGCCCAGCATGTCACCAAGATGGTGGCTCGGAGAGGAGCCATATTGCCCCAGGATGTGTCTGTCACCCCAGTGGCAACTCCAGGTATAAGGGTTCTGCAGGAAGGTAGGGGGTATGTAGAAACTAGGGCTCCTGGGGCCGAAGTACTAGGGGCTACCCAGAGGGAGAGGAAGAAGGAAAGGCCCTAGAGCAGTGGTGGTGAACTTATATGCCGCAGTGGGCGGTTTGTTATCTTTGAGAGCTCTCAAAGGTTCGCCATCACTGCCCTAGAGGATCTGAAGTGTGGGGTCTAAGGAGTCTAGAGCGGTGGGTCCCAAATTCAAGCATAGGGGCTCTGAGGAGGGAAGCATGGTGGGGACAGACCCAGGGGCCAGGCTGTGTTCTCTCTCCTGTCAGTGCCAGCAGAGGAACAAGCCAACCTGTGGCTGGTTGAGGCAGAGATCTCCCCAGAGCTAGAGAAGCGCCTGGGCCGGAAGAAGAAGCGGAGAAAGAGGAAAAAGGAAGTGTGCCCCCTGGGGGCAGCCCCTGATCTTCACCATGCTGCCCCCGCCCTTGCTCCTGCCACCAGTGCAGTTCCTCGGCTGCCTCAGCTGCCCCAGCAGAAGTGCCTAGTGGCTGCGGGTGCCTGGGGAGCTGGAGAACCCTGCTGCCAGGGAGCCTGGACCCTGGTCTCTAACCCCTTCTGCCCAGAGCCCAGTCCCCATCAGGACCCATTTCTCTCCAGCGCCCCAGCCCCCATGGCCTGGGCTCATGGACGCCGCCAAGGACTGGGGCCCATTCACTCTCGCACCAACCTGATGGAAGCAGAGCTCATGGACGCAGACTCAGACTTCTGAGCCTGCAGAGCAAGGACCTGGGATAGGAAAGAGGAACAAATACCACCGAGGCTCTTCTCTGAGTGCATCTGTGGGATCTTGTCTTCCACAGAACGCATGGGTCCTCCCCTGTGAGTTCTATGTGTCCAGCTCAAAGCAGCAGGACTGTGGGAAAGGGCTGAGTGTCTCCATGGGTGACCTCACCCAGGGGTAGGGCCCTAGAGCTCAGAGTCCTCATTTCTGCCCCACCAGCTACAGTCTGGCTGGCAGCATTAGTCTCCAGCAGAGCTTATGGTGGACAGTAATGGCAGAGCCTCGGGTGACAGTACCCAGAGTGGGCTATGGTAGCCAGGGAGATAGCCAAGCCTGTGTCTGGCAGATGAGGGATTCTTGCCCTTTTCTCTGCCTATGGGTACACTTTCCTGGTACTGTCAGACTAAAAGTGTTTATTGTGTTCTTTGTCTAAAGTGGGGTAAGGGCTCCAGTTTCTCTCTTCCAGATGGTTGTGAGGCCAGAAATGCCTATTCCTATGGGGCTATAATCTGCCTGAACAGGAGGCACTACCCCCAAACCCCATCTCACTGCCAATCTCTTTCTGCTTCCTATTTGTTGATTGGGACCCAGAATTACAGTACACACACACACACGCGCACACCCCTTGCCACTGAGTCCATCTCCAGGTGAGAGATTGGCTCAGCTCTAGAGCCTTGACCTGCAAGGGGTAGAAGCAAAGCATAAGAGGTGCCTCCAGGCCCCTGAGAGACGTGTCATCTCTGGATCCTCTGACTAGAGGGGCTACCCCGAGAAGCTGCTGTAGCTACAGCCAGGAAGGAAAGAAAGCTTCTCTCAACTTCCACGACAGCAGAAGAGGCGATTCCCACCTTTCATGACCTTCAGCCATATCCCTAGCACCCCATCCATATTCAAGAACCAGACATCAGGAAGTCTTAGAAGCTGGTTGGTTTCCACATCAGGGATAGGGATGGAAAGAAGAAATATAAACAGTAAATAAAAGGTTTTTGTATAAACTGGGGTGTGTTTCTTTTCCTTAACCCAGTCCTGCCAAACTATTTACCTGGACTCTTGTCTTCCACATCCTCTGGGGCTATTCTTAAAGACTGAGAGCTTGGTGCTGATGAGGTCAGGCTGAGGTCAGCTGAATGTGCTGGCTGTGTTGGTTCTGTATGGACGAAAGCTGCTTCACAAAGCACTGCACAGCCTGAAGTTTGCCCCTGGAGTGACGATGGGAGCAAGTGTCTCCCTGACACTCCGTGTAGGTGGGCATGGGTGCTTGTGCTGTGCTGACCTGGCCCCCACCTCAGGGGACCTCATGCTCTCTACCAGGGATGCCAGTCAGGCCAGGAGCATTCTGATCCACAGCATCCTCCCCTGGCCAGTCAGGGGAATTCTAAGTCAAAGGAAGCCTGTTAGTCTCACTTCCTCCAAATGTATCTGTGGGAGACTGGGAACTGGGTTATAGGGGCTCAGTGTTTTGTGGCAAGGAGGTTGTGGAGGAAAGTGGGTAGGGCCAACAGACTTGCAGTCCACTTTGGAGTGTTGGCCAGGCTTGAAGAGGAGCCCTTTCTACTGCTGCTTGTGTTACAGGGACACACTTTGATCAGAGTCCCTAAGAACATGCTGATTCTATCCTGGGCGTTTTACACATGCATTGTACTATTTAATGATAGCTAACTCTCCGAATGTGGGTTAGGCACTCTCCTGAGGACTTCACAGGTATTAGCTACCAACTCACAGCAAACCTGAGGCTCTAACACCCATCAAAACACTGAGGCACATTGCTGGGCGTGGTGGCAAACACCTGTAACCCCAGTACTGGGGTGCCTGAGGCAGGAGGATCACTTGTATATGTGCTGCCGAAGCGAGCACAAGGAGGATCACTTGTGAGTTCAAGGCCAGCCTGGACTACATAGCGAGACCCTTTCTCACTGCCCCCCAACAACAAAAGACTGAGGCACAGAGAGGTTCAATAGCTTGCCCCAGACCACACAGCAATGCTGTGATTCATTCAGATCCCTTGGCTCCATGGCTCTTGGCCACTGTGACAATGATCCAATCAGAGGAGCTGGTTTTATGTAGAACAACCTCAGGGAAGCAGAATGACTTGCACACATCCTTGAAGCTAGTAAGTGACGGACACTGGGCCCGGGATCTTCCTGACTGAAGACCAGATTCTTTCTGCTCTCAGTTCTGACCTTCAAGTTTTCTTCCTATCCAGATTTCCTACTTTGTGTTCCCTCTTGCTATGGGTAACCCCTTGTGCTTGCTTGTCTTGTTCACCATTAGAATTGTTTTTATCAAAAGTATGATAGCTGGGCTGGGGATTTAGCTCAGTGGTTTCACCGCCTGCTGCCCAATCGCAAAGATCCGAGTTCGATCCCCGGTACCAAAAAAAAAAAACAACCAAAAACCAAAAAGTATGATTGCTATTTTTTAGCTTTTATCAAAAACAGTAAAATTAATAAGGGAAAGTGGTATGATTTTCTTTTCATCTCCAAGGACACTCAACTACTAGCTCAACTACTAGTGTCTCTCTCTGTCCGTTCTTTAGGAGGTTTACTTATGTAAAGCATGGAGGACAGGGTCGTGAGGTTCTTTCTGGGCCTTAAACGAGACCTTTCTCAGTGTGGTTGCAGAACCAGATCGTGACCACCAGAGGGCAGCTGAGCCCGCCTTTCGTGAATGCAGGCCTTAGGGCGGCTGGATGGAGCCCTGACACCTCCGCAAGACCAACAAATCTTGCAGGATTTTCAGGGGAGCCCTTTATTTGAGGATTGTGTATTAATTTCCAAGTTATATCCAAAGTTTCTCCGTGTGCTTATTTTTTTTTTTTTTTTTTTTGATACCGGGGGGGTCGAACTCGGGACCTTGCGCTTTAGAGGCAGGCGACGGAACCACTGAGTTAAATCCCCGGTCCCCCAAATTTTCTGTAAATCCCTGAAGAAATCCTTCAGGGCCAAGAGGAGCCAGGTTTGAGGCCTCCCTGTTGCCACTGGCTTAAGATTTTCCTCTCTGGCAGGCTCTGTCCTCAGGGGCCCCTTTGGGCCCCCTTTCCACTCTCCGGAAGTTAGGCTGAAATGGTACTCAGAGGGCAGGCAGACCAAGAAAGACAGCGGCACACAGAATTTATTCTCTAGCTAGTGGGCCCAGCGGAAGTCACCTTCTAGAGTCTGAGCCCTGTTTTTCCCTTTGTTTTCATATTGATCTGTTTTTTAGCCAGGGCGGGGGAGCAAGCAGAATTTTACAGAAGCAGAACTTAGCAAAGGGTAGGGAGGTGCAGGTAAGGTTTTTACAGTTTATCTTTAAGACATAGGGAGGTAGGCAGCTGTGTTTCTGCAATTCATCTTCCAGACACAGTGACCTTCATGGCTTTAGCAGGAGGGGCAAGCCTTAGATTGTCAGCCTTGAGACCGTCAGTCTCTGCTCTGTCTTTTGTTTTTTCCATTTCAAGGCGTCCAGCGCCCCAGGTTCTGAGGCCGACCTCTGTTGGTCCTCGCTTCCTTAAATCTGTACACTTCCCAGTCCTCCTCCTGCCACTGTTGTTATTAAGAAAATGGAAAGAAAAAGAAAGAGAAAAGCACAAAAACGACCAATTGAATACCCATGTTCGCACCACTCAGAATTGACAACTTTTTAATCATTTTATCGAATTTCCTTCCAGCCTATCTTTTAATGAATAAAGTGTAACAGATTTAACTGAAATGCTTTTTGACCAACACCCCATTCCATACCTTCCTTCCCCCACTTTCTCACTCCTTGAAAGTAAAACAAGTTTTCTCATCTGTTTTTTATGTGCACCTGCAGCCATAAACAATTTACATACTGCTTTTGGTTGCTTATTTATTTACTTGAAGTAGTGTCTCATACATGCTAGGCAGGTGCCCTACCACTCAGTTATAACTCTGGCCATTTTTATTTTTTACTTTGAGACAAGTTCTCACTAAGTTGTCCACGCTGGCTTTGAACTCATAATCCTTTTGTCTCAGCCTCCTGAAAAGAGTTACAGGCATGCACCACTGTGTCCAATATACTGTTTTTATTTTCATCTAAGTCACCACGATATAATTTGAGAGGTCAAATAATTCTACAAGTCCCCACCACCACACACACACTCCGTGCTGTGGACTGAACTCAAGGCTTCATGCTAACCACATGCTCTGCCACAGAAGTATATCCCACTCCTGCTGGTAAGTCTTATTACTTAAAATAGCTGTCTTGCAGGGTGTGGTGCATACCTATAATCCCAGCACTCAGGAGGCTGAGGCAGGAGGATGGCTTCAAGTTGGAAGCCAGGGTACATAGTGAGTTCAGGCCAGCCTGGACTACACAGTGAGATCATATCTCAAAAACCAAAAATATAGGGCTGGGGATTCAGCTCAGTGGTTCCACCGCCTGCCTCACAAGCACAAGGACCCAGGTTCAATCCCCAGTGCCATACACACACAAAAAAACCCCCCAAAAATATAAAAAATAAAAGTAAATAAATAAAATAGCTGTCGTTATTCCACCTGCACCACCTATTTCATCATTTTCTGTCCTGGGAGCCAATCACTTTATTTATTATTATTATTTTTTGGTACCAGGGATTAAATTCAGGAGCTTGTGCTTGTGAGGAAGGTGTGGTGCCACTGAGCTAAATCCCTGGCCCTACCACTTTATTTTAGATGATCCTTATATTTATTTGTGTCTGAATTACATAGTTATAATGATGCCTCTTGAGTGTTTGGTTTGGGCATTATCATTTGACTTCCTAATACAGAGAATAAGGATTTAGTTTGTTTTGTTTTTGCCCTACTGGAAACTGAAACCAGAGCTTTTGCACTGAGCCACATCCCCAGCCTTTTTATTTTTTATTGTGGAATAGGGTCTCGTTAAGCCACTTGTTTCCCAGGCTGTGCTGTGCTTGAACTCACGATCCTCCTGCCTCAGCCTTCCAGAGTGCTGGGATTACAGGTATTCACCACCACACTAGGGATGGTATACAATGTAGGGATGGGACAGTGTAAACAGCTAAAGGAGGAGCTAGTAATAACAGTTTTGAAAGCTGGAAAGCAAAAAAACAGTTGTTCAGCAGACTTGGCAAAAGCTGAACTTTCAGCGAGCAGCAAGGAACGCTCTCATTGTAGCACCCCCAAAAGGCTCTATATTGGTGGTAACAAGAACTTCAGAGGTGGAGCCCAAAGCAGGATTGATCCCCTACCCACTGCCCAGTAGATGACTGCTCTTGGTCAACTTGGCTGATTGTCACTTTGTTCTCTGGACAAGGTAGAAGGTCTGTAGTATTTAGAGACATTGTCTTCTAACTGCCAGTGTTGAAGTTCTATATCTTTTTGACTGTAGCTTTAAAAAAAAAAGTCACCTCTTGTCTCACTCCAGACATTTGAAGGATCTTGTCTTTGCCCCCATAATTTTGAAACTTTACAACAATGTATATTAATACCATCTATTTTCATCCATTGAACAGTGTACCTAATGGTTCCTTTCATTCTGGAAATTCTCATCTTCAGTTCTAGGAAATGTTTTGAATTTTTCCTCCTACATTTTGACACTTGTATTATACAAATACTGGGCTTTCTAGACTGTTGTACTGCTAGTCTATTTTACTATTTTTTTCCTTGGTTTTGAATTAATGAATTGTGTTGCTGAGGATCAAATCCAGGGGCTTGTGCATATTAGGCAATTGCTATTGAGTTACACCTCTACCCCTATTTTTGAAATTTAAAGAAAAAAATGTATTGAAAAGCCTGAAAAATAATTCCTGAAAGACTGCCTTTTTCCAACTGGGTGTGGTGGCCCATGTCTGTAGTCCCAGCAGTTGATGAGGCTGAGGCAGGAGGATAGTAAGTGTTATGGCTTGCATCTAGATGTCCCCCCAAAGCCTCATGAGGTCATAGGTGGGGCTTTTTGGAGGTGGTTGGATCTAGGATTTGTGTTGCTGGGATCAAGGATGTGATGCAGGGATTGAATCATGGGTGTGATGATAGGATTTAGGCTGCCCCACCCTGGGTGTGGGTGACTGCCCTAAGGGTGAGCAGCCTGGATAAGATATAAGGGACAAAAAGAGGGTCACTGTTTCTTGCTTGCCGCCTGCTGCCTTCTGCATACCATGAACTCTTTCTCCTCTGTGATGCCCCTCTGCCATGCCACCTTGTCTTGGAGCCAGCTAATTATAGACTGAAACCTCTACAAATTATGAGCTGAAATAAACCTTTCCTCCTTTAACTTGGGTATCAGGTATTTTGTCTGAGCAATGAGAAAAGTAACTAAGGCAGTAAGTTTGAGACCAGCCTGGGCAATGTAGTAACTTAGTGAGACCTGTCTCAAAATAAAAAAACCAAGGCCCAGGTTCAATACCTAGTACCATAAAAAAAAGCCTCTTCCAGAAAGTTATACTTATTCAGGGTATTGCATCTATCATATTAAAATGTGCATTAGGGCCGGGGATTTAGGTCAGTAGTTCCACTGCCTGCCTCGCAAGCGCAAGGACCCGAGTTTGATCCCTGGTACCAAAAAAATAAAAATAAAATAAAATAAAATGTGCATTAGACATAAATATAAAAACAATGAAAAATAAATGCATCTTCCTATTTTAAATTTTATTGTCTTTAAAAATTCTACTAGCATACTTTCATCTCAAAGTTATGCTTGTTTAGGAATGTTCACTCCTTGAAACAATATGTTCTTTCACAAATACAATATTGTGAGTCTCCAACAATATTAATAATTTATTTTTAAATCTTGCTTTTTTCCCCCGGTGATGGAGATCTAATCCTGGGCCTTCTGTATGCTAGGTAAGCACTATACCATTGAGCTGAGTCCCTGACCTGTCTCACCTTCTTAATGCCCAGTTGCCATTTCCTCTGTTATTTTTTTCTGCTTGCCTAAGTCTGTCTCTGTCTTTCCTATTAAGAGATTTTCTTCTATGTCAGGTGGCTTTGGTAAGAGTGCTGGGCCTATTACCTTGGGAGAACTCTCAGTAGTCCTATCTTTGTTTTCTCTTGGACTGGTGAAATACCTCAGAGAAGTTCTTCCAATCTCCTGCATGGAAAATGTACTCATGTCGGCCACAGTTCTGGAATCTGAATGAACCAGATAAAGGGAAAAGACTTTTAGTCTAAATTTCATTAATAGTTCATAAACTTGTATTTGATCATGTTTCCAGTACAGTAATTCTATCTTCAACTATACCTGCATCCCTGGGCAACAAAGCAGAATAGGATGGAGCTAAAAACAGGGGAAGTGTATGACCTGTTGGACCCAGGCAGTTCTGGTACCTGGATAGATATGGGATGAATATCCATCTCTTTCCAGTGTTCCTGATATTTTGTAATGTTCCCACTTGAGAATTCAATCGTCTTGAATAATCAATTCTAAGGACTCTTTTTTTTTTTTTTTTTTTGGTACCAGCGATTGAACTTGGGACCTTGCGCTTGCGAGGCAGGCAGTGGAACCACTGAGCTAAATCCCCAGCCCCTAGTAATCAATTCTAGAGGCAGTGCAGGTAGGCAGCTGCTGCTTATGAGGTTCTACCCATGCCAGATGGCTGTACTGCAGCTCCCTTGTGAATTAAGGGGAAGAATGAAATCAGTTATAGAGCTGTTAATCTCTGCCCCAACAGCTGGAAGATGAAGCACTACATTGTTTCTTTATAACAGGAAGGAAATTCTGAAAGCCAGAAATGTGAAGAGAAAGCTTAAGAAGGTCGTATGTCTGGTGGACTGCAAATGATCAGATGCTTTCCAACACATAGTAAGGGAGAAATGTGGAGATAGGAAATGAGAGCTTCCATTCAAGGTAGGACAATTCCACCTCGTAAACAGATGTCCACGTTTGTGTTTGTAGTAGCACAGGAAAGGAGATCAAGGCAGGTGATTCCTCCCTTTCTCCTCTTGCCAGGGGGGGAGAAAAATACTCCAATGACTTGATGTCCAGTGGCCCATTTCAGTTGTCAGAGCTGTCACTCTGAACAGCTATTAAGTATAAGATCTCTTTGCCTCACTTCTTATAAGAATAGAGATAGGAAAAAAACCTATGTTAAAATCTGTCAAAAGCCAACTGGATTTTAATGTATTTTTATTGTTTTTTTCCCTTATTAGTTACAAAAAATCTTAGTGGTTGGATATAGTGGCACATGTCTATAATCCCAACTACTTGGAAAGCTGAGGTAGGAGGATCACAAGTTCGAGGCCAACTTGGACAATTTAGTTAGATCCTGTCTCAAAATAAGGGCTGGGGATGTAGCTCAGAGCTCCTGAGTTCTGTCCCTTGTACAAACAAAACAATAAAACAAACAAAACTTTTAAGAAAATGTACAATTTCGCCTCTTGCCTTTATTTATTTATTTTTCGGTACCAGGAATAGCGCTCAGGGCCTTGTGCTTGCCTGGGCACCAATGAGCTGCAACCTCGGTCCTCTCGCCTTTTAGCTCCATTTAAAAAATCATATGTATTTATTCTCCCTCATCATTAAAAAAAGTTGTCAGAAAACAAATTGTGTTTTGGGAAGTGAGTCTTGTTATGTTGCCCAGGCTGGCCTCCAACTCCTTCACTCAAGTGATCTGCAGCCTCAACTTGCCAAGTAGTTGGGACTACAGGCACATGCTACCACTCCTGACTGGAAAACAATTTTTAAAGGTTGCAACTATTGCTCTGTTGTTAGACGTTTCAGATACCACTTTGTTATTAAAAATAAAGCTACCACACATACTACACATGTATTTGAGCTTGCACCTTCTAAAATAAATATAAAATTTTAAAATTAGGTACAAAGAAAGTAAAATCACGTAAATCATAGCATTTAGGGAAATCACTATTTGGATTTTTTTTTTTTTGGTACCAGGGATGGAACTCGGGACCTTGCGCTTGCGAGGCAGGTAGCGGCACCTCTGAGCTAAATCCCCAGCCCACTATTTGGATTTTAGTTCACATTCCTCTATGCTACATATGAATCTGAATTTCTCATTATTTCCCTAAGAGAATTATAGGTCAAAAGATTTGGCCTCGTTTCAGGCAATGCGTTAACTTCTCTGTAGTGAAATTTCGACCTAGTGCGACCTTCTTTAGGGATTTTTAGCTTCTAAGTTTAGAATGTACGAGAAATCGCCATAGCAAGCAAGGTCCTACTTTATCCCTTTTAAAAACCAAGCCACTGAAGTTCGGAAACGAGCTAGGACTACAGTTCAGGGGAAAAAGCCCAAGCCTTTCAACCTGCAGAGGGCACTCTCCTTACGTGACGCACTACTTTTCCTTTAAAGGCTGGCCGCCCACGTGATCGCAGAAGCGTTCACAGAGGAAATGCGTGCAGTCGGGAGAGTCATTCCTCCCCCTTTCCCTAGGGTTTCTGACGTTCCCTACCCGGAAGCCGCAACTTCCGTGGAGACTTTGTCTTTCTCATCCTCTCTGTCCCATCACCCACCCTCACTCTTTTCCGTTAAGTCTCCGGCCCCGGAGTTCCCTCTCCGCGACAGAACCCTACTTTACCCTGAAAGGCCAAGGGACTACAATTCCCAGGGGCCCCCGCGGCCACTGCCCTCCCCCCACGCGCAGTGCACGTCGGGGCCTGAGGTCCCACAGTCTTCTCGACGCCTGCCACCTGGAGCAAGCGCACTACAGGTTCCGTGGCGCCTTGCGCGTGGGCAGGATCCCGGTGGGGCGGGGCTGGGGGCGGGGACGGGGCCGGGCTGCTGTCTGGCTGGCGGGCTGAGAAAGGGGGTGGGAGCGGAGGAGATGGAGGGGAGGAGTGGGGGAATGGGGGAGGGAAGGGGAAGGGAGGCGGGAGGCGGGGCCGAGCCGGAGCCAGAGCTAGGGTCCGAGCCGGCGGTTTCAGTGGAGGCGGTGATGTCGGTGCAGGTTGTGTCGGCTGCGGCTGCCGCCAAGGTGCCTGAGGTGGAGTTGAAGGACCTGAGCCCCTCCGAGGCGGAGCCGCAGGTGGGACTCAGCACGGCAGCTGTGGGCGCCATGGCCCCCCCAGCCGGCGGCGGGGACCCAGAGGCTCCAGCTCCGGCCGCCGAGCGGCCCCCGGTCCCCGGCCCGGGCTCGGGCCCCGCCGCGGCTCTCAGCCCTGCCGCCGGCAAGGTGCCGCAGGCGTCGGCCATGAAGCGGAGCGACCCACATCACCAACACCAGCGGCACCGCGACGGCGGCGAGGCCCTGGTCAGCCCCGACGGCACCGTCACCGAGGCGCCTCGCACAGTCAAGAAGGTATTGGGGCCGGGCTGACTCTCCGAGAGGAGAGGAGGGAGGGGAACCGCAGGTCCTCTCTGCACGGCGGCATCACCCTCCACGCCTTCCCTTCCGATCGTAAGAACAGAGACCCCTTTCCCCCAGACCCCCTCTCAGAGCTGCCCCCACTCGGCCGCCCGTGCTGGACGCTGCGACTCCAGGTGGCCCGGCCACTTCCCTAGGATAACATGGAGGGAGAGCTCTGCCTTACTACTCTGAACAGGCAGGGGGAGAAGAGGCACTTAATACTACGTCCCCTCTGCCCCTCGCTCGGTACATGCTCACATGTTGTTTTCTGGACTGTCTGGGGAAGAGACCACGATGGTGTAGAAAAACCTTACAACTTTCTGGTTTTCACCCAGCAATAAATGTAGAAAGATCTTTTCTGCTTGCAGGAGTAAGCAGCAGTTATCTTTCAATGAAATTCTTCGAGTTGCCTTGCTTTTATGCAAATGATGACTTTCTGTCTTTCTGTGGTCAGCCGGTTCCGTAGAGCAGCACTGATACTGTGCCCTTCTCAGTTACTGCAGTAGCTTAGCATCTTCTTTTGTAGGAGGGTAATAGAGAGGTTCTTCACTCTTAAGAAGTTTGTCCTCCCTACTCAGTAGTTTGCCAGCAGGATTATTAGAAGAGAATGTTTTATTTGTTACATTATTATGATCTGAAACAGTGAAGAAATGCTTGTACTCTTGGGAAAGCGAACATTGTGGGGCTGTGTCAACTGTTAGCTTCTTTCGTACACAGTTTTGGGGAAGCCTGATAACCCCAAGGAGTAATCGTTCCTAGATGTAATAATATCTCTGTATCACCCTTACATTGACTATCAATGGTGCCCACCCCTAAGCTAAATCACAGAACAAAAAAAAAGACTAATATTGGAAAAATCAGAGATGTGGCTCATAGAAAAAGGGTTGGCTCTGATTTCCTAGACAATAAGAACACAGTGATTTATTTTTTAATTGCTGTGGGTGATTTTTGTTTTATCAGAACAACAATAAAAGGATTTATGAAGTTTGCTTGGCTTTTATGGATAGGGACTCAGCTGAATTGTGACCTTGAACCCAGCCAAACATTTGTAATTACCTCATGAATAAGGTATAGCAGATAACCCTCCCTCTCTCCCTCCCTTCCTTTTTTTTTTTTTTGGTACAGGGGATCTAACTCAGGACCTCGTGCTTGCCAGGCAGGCACTGTGCTGCTGAGCTAAATCCCTGGGCCAACCCTTTCTTTCTAACTACACAAATACAGTGATAAATGATATCAGGGCAAGACTGAAGGAATTTAATAATGCCTTAGGACAGTGTCCATGTCATAAGCAATACTAAACTCTGGGAGGAATTATAGTAGAAGAGGCAGTGGTGCTGGGAGTACTGTACCTAGATATGAGTTGGGAAATCTGGGGTATGTTTCTTACTAGTTTTGAGATGCTTTATAACTTTGGCCAAATGTTTTTCTTGTGATTAAGAGTCAGGCACAAGTCTGAAATATGTAATTAGGTTAGATCTTTGGAAAGTAAAAGTGTTTAACAAATTGCTGTTAGAGCATGGAGTTTATAGTAAGACAGGCACTTGGGTTTGAATCCTAGTACTTTCTCTCCCACCTGCAACTAGCTTTTGGGTATGTTTTACATTCTACAGACTAGATCAGGCTCATTCAGAGTGGTATGGCTGTAGAATAGTTTCACATTCTACAAATCAAATTCCCCTTCAATAAAAGTGAGAATGCTGCCAGGGATTTAGCTCAGTGGCACCTTGCCTGCCTTGCAAGTGCAAGGTCCTGAGTTCGATCCCCAGTGCTCAAAAAAAAAAAACCCAAAAAAAACAAGAGAGAGAGAATGCTGTTAGAATTAAATATTAGGAATATTTTTATAATATTAAATATTTTATATGTGTTAGCATTGAACTTGGCACATATAGTAAGTAGTGTCTTAAGAAATGACAACCAGGGCCAGGGATTTAGCTCAGTGGTTTCGCAAGCTCAAGGACCCGAGTTCGATCCCCGGTACCAAAAAACAAAACAAAAACAAAAACAAACAAAAACGAAATGACAACAATTATTAGTATGAAGAATGACTTATTCCTCTTATCATGGCTTAAGTATATGATACCATGACTGCCTCTGAAATGTACACACAGTTTAATAGATTGGGTATAAAGTTAAAAAAAAAAAATCACAGGTCAGTACACCAGAATCTGTTTTTCTTAAATCTAGATGTGTTTCTTGGCCATTTTCCTTGACAATGAACCACCTTCTTCCTGTTTTTTCAGTATCAAAATGTATGTTCCATGATTCCAGGTTTACTCAGCAAGCTTAAGGCTATAGAAGACAGGGCTGAGCTTGCCTTACGATGTTAATTGCACCAAAACAAAACAAAAAAAACCTGCTTCTCTGCTGAAAGTTAAGCAGGTGAAGTTTTGGGCAAGGATACAGATGTATGACACACAGGCATTGCTGAGCTTTTTTTTCCCCCCAGAATCATTAACTGTCTTGTTATTGACTAAGTGGAAGGGCATGAGATTGTTCTTTCCTCAAGTGGAAATTCACCTCACCACATTGTGATTTATTTTTTATTTTTTATTTTTGGTACCGGGGATCGAACTCAGGACTTGGTTCTTTCGAGGCAGGTGGCAGCACCACTGAGCTAAATCCCTGGCCCAACCACATTGTGATATTTTGATTTGTTAAGCCTTTTTTGATTCTTAGATTTTTTTGTTTAATCATTCTGACCTTGACTCCCTTCTGTTTTGTTTTTGGTTTTTTTGGTACCAGGGATTGAACTTGGGTCCTTGCGCTTGGAGGCGATGAAACCACTGAGCTAAATCCCCGGCTCTCCCTTCTGTTTTATTATGGAGGAACTGAGAATACTAGGATTGAAATAGCCTTTGGCTATGTACCTGGTGACGTTTATTTTGTAACTATCATGTGCAGACTTATTTATGTTGAATCACATTTCCATTGATGGTTTCCCTTATTCCATTCATGTATCTGTCATCAGTTTTCTTAGTTCTGTTACTCTGTGTAGCCATAGAAAGGAAATAAACTTCTTGCAACAGCTAGAATTCCCAAGTGCAGTAGTTAATAAGAAGGAACATAGGGTGTGCAAGATACCCTCAGTCACATTTTATCTTTGGATCTGCCTCCATCCTGTAACTTGTGGTGCTCTGGAGGCCAGATCTTGTCATTGGAAGTATGATATATTTCTGTGTAGTGTTCTTCATAAGCTCACATTAAGTGAACTCAGCAAACTAAAAATCTCTAGAAATAAGTTGTGAAAAGTGAAGATAAGTTCCACAATGAATGTGGTAGCCCTTGAGAGAATTTCTTCCTTGTGTTCTTGAAAATGAGTGTTAGGCGCGTTGAAACACAGCGGAGAAAACAAGGCAGGAGAGGATTTATTTTAGAAAAGTTAAAACTTTCTGATAATAAAGCTGCAAGCCCGAAAACCTCAACTAGTTTGTATTTACGTAACTATCAGAAATGACCGGGTTCTGACAGACTCTGTTTTGGCAACTGTACCTACTTTGCCCTGGCTTTGTTGCTGTCAGGAGAGAATGAATTGAACCACATTAGTGCTTTCTTGCCCTATATTGTTTAAGCTCTTGATGTGGTTTATTATAGATTACAAAACAGAATGTTTTGGATATAAGCATGGAAATGTGGGAGCAGTATGACTTTTGCCAGTTAAAAAAGTACAGCCTGGCAAAGTATTCAGTATGGTGATTGGCAGTTGTACCCTAATAATAGTTACAGTTAATTGACCTTTTATGTGCCAAGAATTGTCATAGCCATTTTTGTAATCTTGATAAATACACTATGAGATATGGGGGCATTATCTCCTTTTTACAAAGGATAAAATGTGGTCCAGAGAGGTTTTAAGTGCCTTGCCCAAGGTTATATGTCTAGAAAGTAATAGTGGTAGGACTTAAACCCATGTCTAGTCTGTTTGCATAGCCCAAGTCCTTTTCATTATCCCACAGGAATTCTTTCTAACCACTTAGATGGTGGCTTCTGGCCTTCTCCCCAAAGTCTTTAGAGTACTAAGTGAACTGTAAGATGTGTCTGTCTGGCTAAGGATTAGGTCATCCCAGGACCAAAGTAAGGAGAATTTGAGTCAGGACTTTAGGAAGAGTATGAAAGAAAATTATATGAACATGGAACTTCAAAGAATTGTAAAAAGAAGGGAAGAAGGACACCATCTGTAGATGCAGCCTAACATTTATAATTAACTGGTAATCTGAGAAATTTGTTCTCATTTTTAAAGTTAAATAAGTTGAGTACCTGAGGAATATCTTCTTTCCTGATCAGCTATTTATCCTATTTCTTAAATCTCACATTCTCTCTGCATCAGTCTGATTAAACCTTTTGAAAATTGCCATACTGCTTTGTACCAGACATTGTGCTTAGAGCTTTACATATACTAGTTTGTTTGATTCCTTTAAGAGCCTTTAAAGATAGTATTCTTGTTTTATGAGGAAACAGAGTTGGAGAGAAAAAGGAATTTATTTCAAGGTTACACAGTAAAATGATGGAGCTAACAGAATCCTAATTTGTTTGATTCCAAAACCCAAATTCTTTTTTTTTTTGCCTTTATACAAGTCTATTTTTATTTGTAAAAAATAATATCCAACTAAAGCTAATTTGATTTGTTTTAAATTTTTTTAATGTATAACTTTTTTATCATTCACTAAACACACACATATACAAAAATTAAAATTATTCAAAGAAAAGCAATGCAAGGGGAAAAACTATAATAATATTCAAATATAATAGAACTCAACCAAAGCAAAACTGAAAAGTACTTAAACATTTTTCCATATAATTTAAAAAAAAATCTCAAGCATTAACAAGACATCAAAGGATGTGATTTGTTTTAGAAAGATTTCCAAAACTAATATTGAACAAATAGTGGTCTGAAAAAAAAATTCTAATTAGCTAGTAGACGCCGCATAGGCCAAATTTTTTCAAATTTAAATTTCAAT